GGGGTCAAGGGTCGGGGAAACGTCCATTGACTACGTTGTAGGATAATAACAATGCATACAACTACGTTATGAATGTTTCCCCGAATTTCATTCCCCGGAAATTCTTTCTATATACTCTACCTGTGCAAAATTGTTGGTACTTATTTCAAGAGTGGTTTTACGATTCGTCACCTATAAACCGGTTTATATGTTTCAAACCATCATTTCAATTTCAAAAAATTCAACAAACTTTCATTTAAATGTATCGGTAGATATTTGATTTAGACCTATATTTACCAAAAAAAAACTAAAACTAACAAATAGCACGCAAAAACGATATAACATTCACAACCATGAAAATCTGTCGAGTGACACAAAGTGTCTGAGCGGCTGCTAAAACGTTTATTGTTACGTCAAATTTCACACGTATGCTGATTGGCCAATGTTACGGCAGTCAATAATAAAGTCGATGCTCGTGGAAGCAACCATAACTGTAATTAGAAGTTTATAAAGTTGTAGTACATAAATACGCTACACAGACGCAATGCTTATATTTATGGCCAATTTAAATTGTTTTGCGACCCAGTGTGGAGGGTTTTCGTATTTGCGGACTCCTGCATTAGACAACACTTTATGTAGCCGAGATAGTAATAATTCAGAATGAGTGTAGCACTTACTTCCGAAAATTTGTTCTTATCACGTCGTCCTGGACATGTAATCGAAGGTGCTAAGTAGAATCCCAAGGCCACTTCGATTTTTTCCAATAGAACCATTACTTTGGACCGGTTTGATGAACATGTAATCAAGCCCATTTTGTTTATACATAGCCATTGTAGAAAGCGCGGCTTATTTAGCAATGGCATATTGTTTATGGTTAAATAACTTATCTGAGCACAAGCTTCACATCGTATTATAGATATTTTCAGTTTGTTTTACTTCTCAGATGGACAATTACTTTTCCTTTTCTAAGTCGTTCTTACAAACCTATTTAACTGATATTCTATCCTTTCTAAGATTTACAGGTATCAAACTTGGAGCATACTAATTCACTTTATCTAATAGTATACTCGTAAACGGTTCATACATCAGCACGATGTAACTATTCTACCGACCTCGATGTCATACTTTACTAATATATTTAGGCATTCACGTCTCGGTATGTCGTGACGTCGTTAAAGATCAATCAAATAATTGATAACGCGCGACATTTACAATGACATTGCAGAATTAATAATAGTTTGTTGCGATATTCTATTTTAAAGAAATTGCAATTAATTGTAAAACATAACTTTGCAAATACTATTATAAAGCAACAGAAAAGTTACGCTTAAATATATGTAATATGTAATTTAAAAGCAATTGTATTCTGTTAAAGATTACAATATTACATTGCTATTTAAAGTTGGCTGTAAAATTGCCTAAACTATCCGATAATTTATCAATAACTCAAGTTGTGTTATTTAAGAATTAGCTGCGTTTTGCATTATCCAAGCTTAGGTACATCGGTGCTATAGTTTTGGGCGCGAAATTGACAAATTAGAAAGAACGTAGAATTTTTCAATCCATTTAAAAGAGAACTTGCATTTTCAGAAACGCTATAGGCATTTTCTAAAAAGCTGTAGTTGGTTAGCAAATTATTTTTCATAATTCTTCTGGAATTCAAACATACAAAGCGTTCGCGAAGTGTTTGGCGAACATGTATGGACAAAGATGACTAAAAAATTTACTCTCTTTCGAAACACATAGAAAATATTAACGCACTTGTGGCCGCTGGCACGAAGCCCAAATCCTATCATCGTCATCATAAAAGTTGTAAAACTTAATTTGACTTTTCTAAGTTTTAACCCTCTCAGTTTGCTTCGTGTTCACTCCAACGGGGACGAACAAAACAGGAGGTTGAAAATCTTGTCCGAATCGATTGAAATTGCAACTACCCAGTTGCAATTTTTTCAAATTTATTTTCATGCATATTTCCAAGTTTTTCAATGTCAAGCAATCGGAGTGCTGGACTTAACGAGTTAGTATTGCAGGTCACAATACTCACAGAAGTCGTTCGTACTCTTTGTACTGTATTGTTTCTACTTGTAGTTGAGAGCTTGAGACCTTGTATTGAGCAATAACTTGCAACTCTTTTATCAGTACTAATTCCACTTTTAATTGAGGGTCGAGACCTTGCGTTGGGCAAACGTGAAACACTTCTTTCCTTACTCTCCCCAATTTTAAATGCGGGATCGGGACCTTGATTTAAGCAAACTTTCAACCCTTCTATTAATATTCTTTTTACTTTTAGTTGAAGGCTCACGATCTTGCTTTGAGCAAACTTGCAACACTTCTATCCTTACTGTTTCCACTTTTAGTTTAGGGCTCGAGACTCTGCGTTGAGCAAACTTGCAACATGTCCATCTTTACTTATCCCACATTTAGATGAGACCTAGGAACCTTAATTTAAGCAAAAATGCAAATCTCCTATTAGTACTCTTTCCACTGTAGTTGAGGGGTCTCGATCTTGCTCTAAGCATACCTTGCAAACCTCCCATCAGTACTTATTCAACTTTTAGTTGAAGGTTCGGGACCTTGCGGTACTATTCCCACTTTTAATTGAAGGCTCGGGATCTTGCGTTGGGTGAACTTGTAACTTTTCTATCAGTACTAGTTTTCCACTTTCAATTGAGGATTCAGGACGTTGCTTTGAACAAACTTTCAACTCTTCTATTTGTACATTTCTCACATTAAGTTGAGGGCTCGCGATCTTGCCTTGAGCATACTTACAACTCTCTCCTGTCAGTACGTATCCACTTTTATTTGAGAATCGAGAGCTTGCATTGAGCAAACGTGAAACACTTCTATCAGTACTCTCCCCAATTTTAAATGAGGTCTCGGGACCTTGATTTGAGCAAACTTTCAACTCTCCTACTAATACTCTTTCCACTTTAAGTTGAGGACTCGGGACCTTGCTATGAGCAAACTTGCAAAACTTCTCAGTACTCTTTCCACTTTTAGTTGAGGCCTCGAGACCATGCTATGAGCATACATGCCAAACTTCTATCAGTACTCTTTCCACTTTTAATTGAGGAATCGGGACCTTGCGTTGAGCAAACTTGAAACTCTTCTATCATTACTATTTCCAATTTTAGTTGCGGCTTTAGAACCTTGCTTTGAGAAAACTCGCAACTCTTTTATAAATATTTTTTCCACATTCAGGGTGAGGCCTCGGGACCTTGCTTTGAACAATTTTGCAAAACTTCCATCAGTACTCTTTCCACTTTAAATTGAAGAATCTAGACTTTGCGTTGAGCAAACTTGCAACATCTCTATCAGAAATTTCTCCATTTTAGTTGAGGGTTCGGGACATTGCTTGGTAGAAACTTGCAACTTTCCTAAAAGTACTCTTTCCACTTTTGGTTGAGGGCTCGCTATCTTGCTATGAGCATACTTGAAACTATTCTGTCAGTATCATTTCCATTTTTAGTTGAGGTATCGGAACCTTGCGTCGATCAAACTTGCAACAATTCTAACAGTACTCTTTCACTTTTAGTCGAAGACTCGGGACCTTGCTTTGAGTAAACTTGCAACTATCATATTAGTACTTTTTTAAATTTTAGTTGATGGCTCGCGATCTTGTTTTCAGCATGCTTGATACTCTCCTAACAGTAGGTATTCCTATTTTAGTTAATGGCCGAGAAATTGCGTTGAGCAAACTTTCATCACTTCTATCAGTACTCTTTCCACTTTTACATAAGAGCGGGGCCTTGCTTTGAGAAAACTTGAAACCCTCCTATCCGTACTCTTTCCAATTTTAGTTGAGGGCTCGCGATTTTGTTTTGACCATACTTGCTACTCTCCTATCAGTAGTCATTACGATTTTAGTGGAGGTCTCGGGAACTTGCTTTGAGCAAACTTGCAACTCTTCCATCAGTATTTCATTGTTAGTTAAGGGCTATGAACCCTGCTTTAGGCAAACTTGAAACTCTTCCATCAGTACTCTTTCCACTGTTAGTTAAGGGCTCGGAACCCTGATTTGAGCAAACTTGCAACTCTTCTATCAGTACTCTTTCACCTTTAGTTAGCCAACTTGCAACATTTTTTAATTGGGATCTAATCTTCTTTTGTTAGAGTATGATGTCTATAATGCTTTATATTTTAGTCGTGTAGAGGGTCGTGGGAGTGGTAGACGTGAAAACGTTTCCAAAAACAACGGCCGATCCACTTTCTACTTCATAGGATGCGCCAGCTGTTTGAAATTTTTCTAGCAATAAAAATATGACTGTGATTTTTGATTCAGTGTACTAAATATCATGCATTCTGATTAAAACTTCATACTGTGAGATGAGTCTCATTTATTTACTTCTGAGTGCATGTATTACAACAAAGTTATCTGTAAAATTTGTGATTTAACAATTTGCTCGCGTCGGTTCTTTGCGTAAATAACATTTTATATTCTGTGTTTGCCGTGTTTGCATTGTTCTTACCTCTTGAATATTTTATCATTCACAATATTAGAGTTTGAAATCTCTGACTTAGGATTTACATCTTTCGTATACCTTTTATCAGTTGTATACCCAACTTATGGTCCGCTATACACTTGGGTATATCGTATACCCGGTTAAAGAGCATTGGCTTAGGGTGAGGATGCGGTGCCAGGAAACAATTGAACAAATTTAGCAATGCTGAATGAGTCGGTAAACGTTTTCAGCATTCTGCTTATTCAGTTAATTTTGAGGTATGCGTTCTCGTGAGATAAATTATTTTTAATTTAACGAACCTGAGCCGTGCTCTACCTGATCCCACTGAGAAGCATTAGAAAAAACGAAAGAGTTTTCACAGAAGCTGAATTTATTACTAGTTATTTTTTAGTTCTTTGAATTTCTAATATTGAGCAAACCAAACTTTTATATCTCCAAACTTCGTAAGGTAATTTCACAATTTATTATAGGTAGATCAACAAAACGAATCAATTTAACAAAGAAAATTAATCAAGTTTTGTTTACAATTACAACGGAAGTATTTGCAGATCTGAAAAATTCAAAATTAGAGTTATGAAAATTAATTTAGTGCAACAGTTTTACTTTATTTTAATTATTAATTGATATTTACTGTTTTATGCTGTAATTATTAGAAATGATAAACGTTTAAATTTTAAATCAAAATTCAATGATTTATATTTCATTAATTATAGATCAAGAAGAACAAAATATAACAAGTCAGACTCTCATTAGATCTGGATCTCACAAATAACTCCATTGAGCTTCCTAGTTGGGTATTCATTCACCATCCCTTGAAAATAATTCGGGTTGGAACGAACTTCAAGGTAAACAATTGTATGGTCTTTATATTTAATTCCCGTTTTTGGATAGCTACCCGAACGCCATTCAATGAATGAATCTATGGGTGAGAAGGCACCAGTCTGAAAAGAAATTATTTATATGGTTCTTATCATGGAATCATGCTTGATCACGCATTCAATTCATCGTCATAAATAACTTATTTCATCAATCAAAATGCGATATAATATTATGGATCCATGCTTGGTCAAATGTAAACGCGAGTGAGTGCAACGCTGAGCAGTTCAGTGCAAGACGAGATGTTTAGGTTGTTATAAAACGACTATAAATAACCTACAATGTACGGCAAACATCAAGACAGACAAGAGGAATATAAAAATATGCCAACTTCGTAGAGAAGCAATGCCAATCGACGTGATTCAATAGTTTAGGCTAGTGATAATATACAGGCTTGTCCATGCGAATGGAATGAGACATCACATTCGTATTTCCCATGGGTCATTAACCATGTCATAACTTGATTACGTCAGAGCTAAGCATTTTTCGGGGCTCCCGAAGTATGCGAACCAAGATGGCGGACTCGGAATGTAATATGTATACTAGGTTAGGGTTAGGCCCTAATTTCAGGTATAAATACAACGGGAGGCTCTAGGCTAGTCTTCGAACTGATAATAGGACTAAAATAAGGAAAATTGGAAAAAAATTATCGCCTAACAATAACCTGTTACCCATGTTACGTTCCGATGTCCGCCATCTTGGTTCGCATACTTCGGGAGCACCCATTTTTCTTTATGTTTTTTTACCTTTCGAATGTTTTGTACTTTTCTTTTTCTTCATATACTCGTATCTATTATTTAATTTATGATAGGACACTGGCATAAATGAATGGGATTCCCATAAAAAACGTCCATTGGGATGTAACAGGCATAAATTGCCATGAGATAGAATCGAGCCCAAAAACTGTCTCATGAACTAGCCTAGTGGCAATGGATATTACTTGAAATATATGGCAACATCATTATTTTGCGTTTTTTGATTGCTCATGTTTCATTTTCAAAGCTTCACTACAACGCTGGGTTTGCGGCCTCAAGTTCTAAACCTGAGGTTGAACAATGGTACCATTTTCAAATATCGGTGGACATACCGCTAAGATACTCAGAAGCTGAATATCTTAGCGGTATTTACCCAGGGTCAGAAACAGGTAAACGTAAAAAAAGTATTCCAAATACCACCTGCACAGATGTAGATAATGAACTAACCCGAGTTGTCTCAAACATCTTTAGCCGTGTCTCACCCCACACTCTACCCATCTCGTAATGTATTTTATATTCTTAAACAAGAAAATAATTGACCTAACCATATGATACTAACCATTGGATCAAAGTGGATTCCTGTCCATATATTAATCCACACCTCTCCTTTCGGAATTTCCTTTCTCAAGTATTTCATAATTGCATTGTAAAATTCTTTATCTTCAATGAGACCAACATATGCATTACGTTTCTTACAAATATCAACTGCTTTGTCGTAGTTGACATCCCATTCATCATGTATCACAGCAAAATAACAAATTTTTCCAACCTTTAATTTGCAGTTTTCTGAAATGGAATAACTGCAAATTCAGGAATATGTTGTGTAATAATGATGGATCAATCCCTGCTTTGGGTAAGAAGGACCCGGTACCTTCAAATAATACCACAACATTTTAAAATAAAACTAGCCGGCTTAAAAAAAAATACAATGAGGCCAATCACACGATTGTTGTAATTTGGTTGTAATTATGCAGAAAAGTATCCTTTGATATTCAATAACATTCATCACTTGCTGACATTACTCGGCTTCGGTTCCATCGAATGTAAAAATATCGTTTTGTTTTACAATCACTTTAATGCAAATGGTTCTTAATCTTAAACTATGACTTGGTGTGGATGAATTATTTACCTGAAGCAGAAGTTGGTTTCAATGTTGTTCGAGTCTTTGTTGTTGGTTTGGTAATCTGCCCGGAATCTGGAAGCTGATGAGGCTTATCCATAACGACAAGTCTTCGTTCAATCCGGGATATTTATAAATGTTAATATAAATATTGGAAAACACCTATTTGCCATTTACTAAAACGACAAAGCTATAGAAACATTTTTCAGAAATTCCTGGCGTTTTTTGTTCTTCTGCTTGTCTCAAATATATTTCGTTACTATCGGTTTTCATAACGCTTGTTTACAACACCATATTGTGAAATAATATTTTCTTATCATGGTCGCTTGCCACAATACGTTGTGTACATAAAAATACCTTTAGTTTTGATAAGTTAAAAAAACAGAAATAAGATGAAACACTTCATCATCCCTTAATATGCACTTACCTTTCTTCAACTCTTTTATTTCAGTAGACTGTTGCGCAGTTTTCGACTGCTTCTCCAGTAACTTGCTATTTATTGCCCAAAGCTCTTCAAATTCTGACGAAAGCAGAAACGTGTAAAGGGTTTCGTTTCGTACCACACTCTCTGATTTTAGAAGCCATTAGAATTTCACAATTGCGATTACTGAGTTGCTCAATGTTAGATGAATCGCAACCCAAACTTAGCTTGAAAGTATGAATTTTATCTTATTTATAGATATATGTTGGATATACCTTCAACAGATATATACGTTTCGAAGAATTTTCTTTTTAGTTCGTATCAGTGTAAATTGAGAACCGATCATTCTACCATCTACATTCAGCAAATACACACTTTATGTAATGTGAAGACGAATATATAACCAACCTTCCTTCAGTTTCTTCATTTCATCAGATTGTTGTTCAACTCTCCTTTTAAGATTGTTGATTTCTGTTGATTGTTCTTCAATTTTGTCGCCACTTTCTGTTATAAAATAGGCAATATTTCAGGTCAAATGTTCGGTTAGAAAATACGAATTTGTTACAAAACATTTCTCATTACATATATGTGAGCGCATTGTTATCGATTTAACAGTAAAAGATTAATTGAATAGAGCAGAATTCTTCAAACTATTGGTGTTATGGAGTGAAGAGGTTTACTATTATTTACGTCGCACAATAAATTTGTAAAAAGTATCTGTTGGGGATTTTGTCATACTTGAATTACTGCCACGTTTCTATACGCTACTGTTGTCTAATTTATTCAATGCCGTTGTATTGCTCCTTTGGATAGTTAAAAATTAGTTAAAGCAATATTTTAAAAAGTATAACAGAATATCTCGCGAAACCCGTAGGTTTCCCTCAGGGACTCTGTACGGAGCACTTTGAAATAAATTTCTGATTCTAACCGTCATTTCCAGGACTGCCAATATTTTTCAATTTATTTTCGAAACCTTCTTCCAGTTCTCTTAAATCTGATTTGATATGTCCGATATCTGAATGAATAGATGAGCAAACAAATTTAATTCAATGATTTCTAATAAACCCAAGAAAATACAAAGGCATCATTGGATAATAAGTAACGTGTGACTAAATAAATCTCGGTGTTTATGTGTTAGTTGAACCACGTCTAGTGGGTAAGAAGATATTTCTTTCAGAACTCGAAGTCGTTATGAATCATATCTATTATATGATTGTTGTGTAACGCAGACCGAATTGGGATATTTTGTTTCTTAATTATTGAATAGAAAAGATACTTGCCTAAAATATTCCTGGATACTAAAGGAAATAAATTTCCAGTATTCTGAGGCTTTGCCGCATTCTCAGATTTGCATGTAATCGGAAACTCCTTGTCATGCAGCTGTTTATCGATGTTGAAACCCGGTCTGTCCCATCTTACAGCAACCGGATCACATTGTGCAATCTGGCAACCCGGCTTGGGTGAGCAGTGAAACACTGTTTCATCTTGGCACCAGGATGGCGCGATGACGTATATTAATATAAATGTGATTGAGATTTTCATCTCGAGGTTTTAGTGCAGTTAAGTATTAACTGAATGAAGAAAAGTTTTTAATTAGTTTATATAATTATTCTGATGTGAAATATATTCTCATCATTGTACATTGTAGACTCCACAACATTCCGCGGTTTCACAAACCGATACAAAGTGTATTTTAGAGTTATTTATAAAGTCTTTTGTATGAAATACCGCTATCCGTAGCCTAGAATCTTACAAAAATTATTGCTGATGTTTAATAATTATTGAGCAAGTTTTAAGTACCAGGATGCTAATGTCGAAATGTTTATAAGCAAGTTTTATGCAACAGTACCGGGATGCTAATGTTGAAATGTTCATAGGCAAGTTTTATTTACCGAAATGCTAATGTCGAAATGTTCTTAGGCAAGTTTTATGTACCGGGATGCTAATGTAGAAATGTTCTTAGGCAAGTTTTATGTACTGGGATGCTAATGTCGAAATGTTCTTAGGCAAGTTTTATGTACCAGGATGCTAATGTCGAAATGTTCTTAGGCAAGTTTTATGAACCAGGATGCTAATGTCGAAATGTTTTTAGGCAAGTTTTATGTACCAGGATGCTGATGTCGAAATGTTCTTAGGCAAGTTTTATGTACCAGGATGATAATGTCGAAATGTTCTTAGGCAAGTTTTATGAGCCAGGATGCTTATGTCGAAATGTTCTTAAGCAAGTTTTATGTACCAGGATACTAATGTCGAAATGTTCTTAGGCAAGTTTTATGTACCGGGATGCTAATGTCGAAATGTTCTTAGGCAAGTTTTATGTACCGGGATGCTAATGTCGAAATGTTCTTAGGCAAGTTTTTTATGTGCCAGGATGCTAATGTCGAAATGTTCTTAGGCAAGTGTTACGTACCAGGATGCTAATGTCGAAATGTTCTTAGGCAAGTTTTACGTACCAGGATGCTAATGTCAAAATGTTCTTAGGCAAGTTTTATGTACCAGGATGCTAATGTCGAAATGTTCTCAGGCAAGTTTTATTTACTGGAATGCTTATGTCGAAATGTTCTTAGGCAAGTTTTATGTACCGGGATGCTCTAACATTCCTTTCAAACAAGATATCTCGTACAATGAAATGCAAGCAAGAGACGCCGTGCTGATTCGCAGATTTTAAACCTTGTTCATCTCATTGGAATTTTATGGTGCGTTTGCAGTAATCAAAGTTTTCAACATGCATTTTATTATATTGCATTATTACTTATACTGCACTGTAAGCTTTAGATCATGAACTGCCTTCGATTTCGTCAGTCAGTATAACATGACTTTTAGTATCGTACCCTCATTTGCAGATTTGTTGAAGCAAAGAACATAAAATAAAATATTTGCAGTGAGGTTTTTTGCAGACTCGTCATCTTTTGTTCTACGTATTGTTTATAATTCAGAGTTTGTTGGCTTTAGGAAAGTCACAGATTGGATCTGGGACATGGCTTTTTGAAATTGGTTTGTGCATAGCTGAGCTAAAGGGCATTTTATCAATTGTAGATAGAATTAGATAAGACTTGGAATAGTCAAATTGGAAAAATTGAAGTTTTTTGAGAAATATGGGTGTAATTTTTCTTCATAAAATTCGAACAAAAACGTCACGCACCTTCTTGCAAGAGTGAGAAAGAAAACTCACAGTAAACGGACATGAGCCTACAGTTAACCAAGTGAGGCGACTTTAACAACAAAGTCCGTTTTGTTATTTATAGAATAAGCAGAGAGTAGTAATAAAGTGTTTGCATTTTGAGGTCTTATTGGTACCCAGTTCTACACGACGTGATTTTTCTTAATTCGATCTAGCAGACTGGGTAAATACAAGTGAGGATCAGCCCATACCTGACAACAGTACGCAATGCAAAGACCGCCATTGTATGTATATTATGCAGCCACGAAACAAATATCCTCAAGAATTGTAAACAGCTTCAACTATCAATAAAGCGTTTCTATCTACCGATGTTACTTGCTCATTCCGAGAGATGAAGAAGAGACAACTCAATGCAGGCTTAGCTACATTAATGCTGAAGTAATTTGAGCGATAGAGACATTTCAAAACATCAGCATTATTATGAAATTGAGCAAAATCTTTTTAGAAAAGAATATAGAAATGGCGTAGATTTCAGAATAGCTTTTTAGAAGTGACATATAAGAATCGACTAAGTCCTGATTAAATGGCAACCAGCACAGCAGACCACAGAAAAAACTTTGCCACGCTTCAATGGCTTGCGCCTAAACAGGTAAAATATATAAACTCTAGTTTAACACCTCGCAGCTCAAGCCTAGCGCGCAATTTTAGAAGGATATCACTGCTCTGACTTGTTAAATGCGCCTCCTTGAAATACAGAATATTTTCGGCTATTGTTAAAAAAAATCTCGATGGCGCCACATTTTAATGTGATATTATATTGTAATATGAAGATATATCCCAGTGTGTTAAACTTCTCAAATCGACAATTACCTCTGCTTTCTCCGAGTCCTTACAAAACTATTTAGCAGGTATTTAATCTCAGCGCATAATAAATTACTTGGTATATTATTGAATTTGTTAACGAGTTTATTTTCGGCACGTTGAAAATCTGGCGAACTAATTGCTTGCATACAATCGATATCAACTTATTGTCGCCTTTATTCTTAAAAATCTACACATTCGACTACAAGCATTCACGTCGTGTTATGACGTGACGCAATTCCAGATAATCGATATCGCGTGACGTTTGTTACGTCATAAATATTGACAGTTCAGAATTAATATCAATTTTAGCAATTCTCTATTTATAAATATAAGGCAATGAATTATGAAACATAAATTTTCGAATACTATTCAAAAGCAACAGAAGAGTTACGCTCACTCACATGTAACTGAAAAGCAAATGTATTTGTTTAGGATTACAATATTACATTGCTATTAATAGATGGCTGTAAAATTGCCTAAATTTTCCAATAATTTGTCAAGAACTCAAGATCTGTTATTTAAAAATTAGCTGCGTTCTGCCTAATCCAGGCTTAGATACATCGGTGCTATAGTTTTTGGGGCGATATTGGCAAATTAGTATGGACTTGAAATTTTTAGCCCATTTGAAAGAGACGTTGCATTTTTAGAAAAGATATAGGCATTTTCTAAAAGACGTTTATTTTTGAAAAAGAGCGTATCCGATTTAAAAAAGGCATACTGCATACAAAATACGTTTTAAAACGTCTATTTCAGAAATGGCATTGCGTTTTGATTACGGAAAATCCTCAATGATGGATATAGCCCATTCAAAAATGACAAACTTTGTTTAGCTTGCATATATTATTGGAAATATTCTCTAATCTTTAAAATTAAATGAATTTTCCCGAGTGTGGCAATCCTGAGATTATTTTTAGTCTACTGCGAACCTATATTTTAGTCTTCTTAAACCCTCAGGGTACGTTGCGTTTGCTAAGTTTTAAAACTGATTAGAAATATAGAAATTAACGGTATCAAGAGCGCATGATAAACACGTCTAAACAATGCCAATATTATATATAGTTCCTTTTATTCAAACTCAGAATCTGGTGAACTATTCTATCAACCAGTTGGCTTTATGTTAACTGTACTGATAAAATAGTTTCTATATCGTTGCTTTTATGCTTGAGAATTGACCGCATTCGGATATTTATGGAAGCATAGGCGAAGTTACGTCGTGACGCGGTTTCGGATCTAAATCGGATTAGCGGTTTTGCGTTACTGTCGTTACATGATAGACAATGACACCGCAGATTTAATTTAGGTTTTTGTAATATTCTATTTTTAAAGAAATTGCAAAGAATTTTAAAATATAAGTTTACATATGCTATTGAAATCTACAGTTAAGTTAGCTGAATTTAACAGCAATTAAAAAGTGAACTCAATTATTTTATTTAAAACTTTGAAAACGCTAATAAAAGATAAGCGTAAAATTAACCAAACTTTGTTGTAATTTTTAAGCAAAATTATTTTTTGTAAATATGGAATTCAAAACTACAAAGGGATCATTGTTAAGCAAGCCGATATGAAAATAGATAGCTTGGTATACAATCCCCTTCCGATTATTAGCACCCCAATTATAATACGCTCAATATCAAAATGGAATTATTATTACAAGTTTACACAATTTTTTAAAAACCATAAATCTTCTGTTATTTATCTATCTTGACGCATTTGTACAAAAAATTGATTTTCAACTAAAACACTGTCTATAACTGCTATAACGGATTTATCTTGGTAGATTTTGCTTAAGAATCTACTCGATTACCGTTAGAATAATTGCAAGTTTTCCAAAGCAAGGTCTCAAACCCTCAACTACAAGTGGAATAAGAACTAATGGAAGGTTACAAGTTTTCTGTCCCAATTCCCAAACTAACGGTTGGAAGATTACTGATAGAAGATGTGCAAGTTTGCTCAAAGCAAAGTAATCATGCATACTAAATAAACTTCTTACTGTGAGAACCACTTTATCTATTGATATTTCACAAAGATGAGTCTCGTTGATTTACTTCAGATTGCATGTATATGTTTACCATAACACTTTACACTTCAAACTACTCTCAGAGAAATGAGTCATCTTTATTTCTGAATTTTTGTGTCATCATATTTCTGTATAGTCTCAGTAGCTAGCCCATGGCTCTTGAGTTGTCGACAGAAAGTTTGTTTTAATACAAAATTCTTGAGTGACTAAGTCGCTATCATAACAGTCGGTGTTTTAATGCGGTCGTCATTATGACAGTCGCTCCCTTGATTACGTCGCTATTATGAAGTCGCGATTATGACAGTCGCTCTTTTGACAGTCGCTATTTTGAACCCGAGCTGCCCAAGGTAGTAGTTCGAGCTTCATTTAGTTTTTTTATTATTACCAAGATCCTAGCATTGTCTGTGATGTCTTTGAACTTCCGATATCTCATTTATCACCATTCTTATGTGTATTAGGTTGCAGGTAATATTAACTAGTCTTGTCTTATTAGAAAAAATGACATTTAGAATAAAGCAGAGTTACGGTTTCCATCGTATCGATGTCCGTATAACTTATGGTAAACATTTGCCAAGCTGTAGCATTGGCGAGGCGTTTCGAATTAACTCGGATAGACGATCTGAAACTTTGGCCGAATTAATTTCCGGATTCAACGAACAGATACATTTTAAAACATTATCCAGTTGTACAAAGTCGGGTAATACCCTAAACTCAAGTGCCCCACGTCACCAAACGCCGTTTTCTAATAAACAGATTGAAAAAAAAAGTAATTAACGCATCAAGTAACCCCATAAGCAAATTTCAATTTTATAAAAATGTTTTCAGCTAACTGCTTATTCACCTAATTCTAGTCTAAATCTAGTCCTTGTTTTCTCACGATATAAATTATCCTCGTTCTCGAACCTATTTCGTGATCAACCTGATCCGTCCGAGAATAAGTATCAAAAAAAATATTACGGGGCAGCTGAATTTATTACAAGTTAAAATTTCTCAAATTTCAAAATTACGCAAATAAATCTACAAACTTTACTCAATTTGAAACATTTCACCACTCGGTATAGTAAGATCAGCAAAAACGTACAATTTTTTAAATTATCCTATGAAAATCTCAATCAAATATTATTTGATAAAATATACCTTAAAATAAAATGTTTGCAGAACTGAAAAATTTCAAAAAGTAAACCATTTTTTATTCAACCTTATTTTAGCTGTGATGCCGGCATTGATCACGGTAAGGCTGATCGTATAAATTTCGATCATGATCCAATGATTTATATTTTATTGATAATAAAGGAACAAAATACAACCAGATAAACATTTCATTATATCAGGATCTCACAAATAACTCCATTACGCTCCCAGGTAGGAGGACCATTCACCATCCCTTGATTATATTTCGGGTCTACTTTAACATAGAGATAAACATTTGTGCGATCTTTATATTTGATCCCCGTGTTTGGATTATTTGGATACCATTCAATGAATGGGTCTGCAGGTGTGACGTCACCGATCTAAAATGGAAAGCATTAGATAGCGTTTATCACGAGATCATGCTTGATCACACATTTAATTTATTGTCTTGAGTTACCTATGTCATCAATCAAAATGCGATATTATATTACCGATATATGCTTGGTCAAATGTGAACGCAAGTTTTCCTAGTCTCTCATTTGTTATCATGTAAAGCAGGGGTCGGCAACCTTTTGTCGCTCGCGGGACAAATAGGGGTTGCAAGTCATTGGCGGGCCGCACATATTTTTAGAAAGTTGAAAACCGAACGGATGATACTTTTTATAATAAAAATGAAGCAGTGATACACCTCTCGAATAGAATATATATTTATTTCCCCATTGCATTGCATTTTCGGCGCCATTGAACCTCTTGCACTTAGCATCAACTTTTCTGCGTTTTGTTGCTATTTGTCTAATTATGTTCTAATTATAAGCTCATTAAACGAGTATGAGTGAATTTTATACTTGTTAGAATATAATATAGTTTAGTCTGCACGCGTCTCACAATGAATTGCGTAACGTGAAAAATATAATCGTCAAAACAACTTTTTTGTTACTATAATTCAGTGAAGCGTCGCGGGCCGGATTATGTTACTCCGCGGGCCGGATCCGTAGTTTAGGCATCAGTGCAAAAGTATGAGAGTTACGCATGTTAAATAATCAATTAGGTCATATTCTTGCACTGATTGTTTAAATATGCATGTAGCCGCTTTTTTTGGTATTGTTTTACTATGTATGTCTGAAGAAGTCTGACCTTGCTCAGACGAAACGTTTTATAAAAATATATTTGTGTTAGAGTGCAGCAAGACTTTTGAATCCCTTAGAACAGGGGTGCACAACTCAAATGAGGATACGTGCCAATTTTTTTAAAATAATTTTGTCGGTGGCCACGCATCAATGTATATCAAAATTTTTTTTTTTTTACAAAAAGGTTCGCGTGCCACGTTTGAGCGTAAGGCGTGCCAAATTTGGCACGCGTGCCTCGTGTTGTGCACCCCTGCCTTAGAATAATGAATAAATTTACAAAATAATTCCGAGTAAATTTCCCGGAATCAGAAAAAGGTGAAACGTCAACAGTATTCGAAATACCGTCTGCACAGTTGTAGATAATGAACTGTTGCTTCAAAATCTTTGGCCGTGTTTCTGTCACTCTATTTATCTTGTATTATATTTTTACATGAAAGAATTTTTAGCATAATCATATGGTACTAACCATAGGATCAAACTTAATTCCTGTCCATATGTTAATCCACGTCTTTCCCGTTGGTACATTACTACTCAAATATTTCATAATCGCATTGTAAGATTCTTTATCCCAGGTCAAACCAACATCTGCGTTACGTTTCTTACAAATATCAACTGCATTGTCGTAGTTGACATCCCGTTTATCATGTATCACAGCGAAATAACAGATATTTCCAATCTTTAATTTGCAGTTTTCTGAATTGGAATAAATGTATATTTAGAAATATATCGACTAATGATCAATCGTTGGTTTGGGCAAGAAGCACCAGGCACATTCAACCAATTCTTCAATATTTTCAAATCAAACTTGCCGGCTTGAAAAAAGGCAATAAAGCCAATAACACAATGCGTATGTTGTTTTGTGGTTGTTATTATGCAAAAACAATATCCAATAACATTCAACACTTGCTGACATTACTCGACTTCGGCTCCATCGAATTTAGAAATATCGTTTTGTTTTATAATAACTTTAAAGTGTATTGATTATTCATAAAATATTCCTAAACTACAACTTGGATTGAATAAAGTATTCACCTGGATCAGGAGATGGTTTCATTGTTGTTGGAGTAGGTCTAGTTATCTGCTCGAATATTTTTGGAAGTATTTGAGGCTTATCCGTAACATCTAGTTTTTGTTCAAGCCGGGATATCGCTAAATGATATTATAAATATTACACATAATCTATTTACTTTTTGCTAATACAATAAAACCTCAGCCACGCATTTCTTTACACATTTCTGGCGTTTTTAATAGTTGGAGTATAGAGTTGAAAATAATCGAACACGTGTACTAATCTTAAACAGGCTCACTATAGTTCTTGCAGTCATTCGGGAAAATATTGTCATTGTTTTTGTAAGTTCATATTACAGTCAGAATAAGCTTATTCGCTCTCTGTGTTTTGTATTTCTTGAAATATCCCATCTTCAAATAAAGTGATTGGAATAAAGCTTTCGCTTCATAAACTGTTCACCAACTTTGCCATGAAATATTTCCAATTTCATACTTTATATTACTTCTTTACTGACAGACACCAAATCCCAAGATTTTAGAGATTGTTAACAAATGCTACGAATAGCATTGTCAGTTTTTGATAAAGCGGTTCCTCGGTTTTCAATATATTGCTCGAATACGTACAACCTTTAAGAAATGTTCCATGAAAAACTTATTATGTTGTCAACAAAAAATATTAGTGAACATATTCTACCTTCTTCCATCTTTTCGTTGTCGTTTATCAACTTAATATTCATGTTTCGCATCGCGACCAAATCTAATAAAGAATAACATTTAGACGTTCAGAATGAGGTATTAAACTACGCACTTTAAACTTTCCTCTTTAAATATTGTCTCTGACAACAGCAGTTTACAAATTTCTTTGTCATAGTACTTACTCGAATGCAGGATATGCATAAAATTCATAGAGGTGCAATGCACGTGTAAAAATAGTTGAATGAAATAGAATAGTATATATTTTAATTGCTCTCACCTTTCTTCATCTGTCTGTTGTCATCAATCAATTTTTCATTCATTCCTTGAACTCCAGCTAAATCTGACAAAAACTTTATAATGTAAGAAGCTAGATAAGCAAGTGTAGCATCTTTTAAATATATACGGAAGCATTAATTGAGTCGCAATGGCATTTGAAGTCTGGATCAAATAAATCGAGATAACTTCAGTGTTCAACTCTCGACCGACTCCGAATCTTCTGACCTCGAAACTTTTCTATTATGGTGAGTTGAAATTTATAGGCAACAAGTAAATACTAACACAATATTTGTACTGGATGTGGATGTATCTTCAATTAATATTGTGATATTAAAGAGAAAAGTGGCGGTAACATCCCTGAAATGGTAAAACCTGAAAAGGATTCAAAATGTTTCGTGATCAATTTTATTTTCAAGTGTTGGCTACTTATTCAAATTATTGAGTAATTCTCACTAATAGAGATATTTAATTATAAACCCTCATCACATCATGCAATTCACCAACCTTTCTTCAGATCAGATATTTCGGTAAATTGTTCCACATTTTCCATTTTAAGTTCATTCAGTTCAATAGATTGCTTTGCAAATCTTCTTACTAAATCATTAATTTGTTCAGATTGCAGAAGTGCTTTGTCACGAAGATTGCGAATTTCATTAGATTGTGTCTGAATTTCATTGTTTGTTTTTTGATCTGCGGAAAACATTAGGTTCAAATTACTTTTTAATGAAGAAACTATTTTGTTCAAAATAAACTTTCAATATTTAAAGCAATTTCTGTAAGACCTTAAAGGCGTCACATTTCAATGCTGAAACCAGATTTCAACTCAATATGAGATCATATCTTCCAATAAACAGAGTGAGAATGGCGTACAGTCAACTCTTACCTAACATGCTCTTCTCAAATTGATCGAGGTTTTTCCTGTTTTCGTCGACGTTATCTTCCAATTGTTTCAGTTCTGACTTGATAGTTCCAATATCTGAACAAAATGTAAGAAATATGAAACGATTTCAAGTGTTCCAATGATACAAATATTTGATTCATACATTATTAACATGATGCAAAATTGATCCCGCAATAAAAAATATATTTAGCTACAATTTCAGCAAACAGCAAATGAGCGCACAATCTCCGGCGGGAAAAGTATCGGTTAACAATATTTCATTCTCCTTTTTGAATTTGACTTTGATGTTGAGTCGCAATACCTGTTGTTATGATGGTTTCAGTGGGAATTGGAGATATATATAGTATAGTATGATAGAGTAGTCAAATTCATGGGCTTTCGAGGGCCGCATTGCATTTTGGAAATTGTGCAAAGGGCCGCAAATAGTTTTTGCCATATTTTGATAATGTATACTTTAAGCATATTTTTAGATAGGTGTAGTTTGTGACATATATTGTGGTGCAATTAAACAGTCGAATAAAGTTTTGCTGTTTTCTTAAATTTGCATTTACATATTAATTTCTGCATTTCAGTATTATTGCAATTTACCGCATTTATTACAATAAATTATAAATTTTTATGTACAACTATCCAAAACATTTTTGATAAGGTGAGAATAGTACATAAACTAAAAAGGACCTACCTACAATATACAAAAATACTACAGAATACTTTGAAAGGTTCAAAAATGTATTTCATTTAGATAAAAAAGAAACTTACTAAATATCACAATATTACCATTGTAAGTTCTCTGGGCCCGCATGTTACCCGCGGTCCGCGAGTTTGCCACCCCTGGCTAACAGACACTCATGACTTCTCATGAATAGGCGTGATGTATCCAATCAATGAGGAACAACATCTGTGATATGGTGAGATAGCTTTGCCTTCAAGCATATTAAACAGTAAATAAACCACTTGCCTAAAATGTTCCTTGATACCAAGGGAAGCCAATCGGCAGTATTTCCAGATTGCGCCGCATTCTTAGATTTGCACGTAATCGGAAACTCTTTGTTATGCAGATGTACATCAATGTTGAAACTTGGTCTGTTCCATCCTACAGCAACCGGATCACATTGTGCAATCTGGCAACCCGGCTTGGGAGAGCAGTGAAACACTGTTCCATCTTGACACCAGGATGAATCGATGACGCAGATTAAGATATTAATAATTAAGATTTTCATCTCTGGGTTTCAGTGTAGTTAAGTAGGTACTGAATGAAGAAAAGTTTTTAATTTGTTCATTGGAAAATTCTAATGTGAAATAAACTTTCCTCATTGTGCAGTGTAAATTCTAGAACAATATTGTGGAAACTAGAAAACTTATGTAGGAATGACATTGTTTAGAAATGATATAACTCTTTTGAAAAGACACAACCTTTTAAGAAAAAAAAGACATTTTCAAAAGAATCACATTTCCTATGGATAGGATATAGACGTTAAAGAAGCGGTGTATCATTTTAAAATGTGCACGACCTCAGCCATAAGCTCAGAGAACAATTTAGGAAGGATCCGCTACCACTGCTCTGACGTGGTAATGCGTAGAAATACAGATTATTTGGCCACTGTCAAATTTTTCGATTATGTCAAAGTTCAATGTCGTACTATATTGTAATATAAAAGTATATTTCAGTGTGTTTCGCTTTTCAGATTGATAGAATAACTCTACTTTCTTTGAGTCCTTCTTACAAAACTATATAACTGGTATTTAATGTCGGTGCATAATATATCTCTTTACATAATAGTAAATTCGTAAAAAAGTTATTCTTCAGCACGCTGTAACTAATTTCTCAACCAGTTGCCCCATACAATCGATATCAAAATTTCCTAATTAGGCTTCATCGCGTTCTTTCGAAAAATATACACATTCGACGGTACTACCGTATATATACACATTCGAATATATATATAAGCATTCACATTGTGGTTTGTCTTGACGTTGTTTCAGATCAATCAGATAATCGATATTGCGCGACCTTTACTATGTCATGACATAGACAATGACATCGCAGACATAATATTAGTTTGTCGCGATATTCTATTTTGATAAAATCGCAATGAATTGCAAATAGATATCTTTGCAAATACTACATAGTTTAAAAGAAGTAGAAAATTTACGCTTAATTACATGTAATTAAAAAGCAATCGTATTTTGTTTAGGATTACAATATTACATTGCCATTAAAAGTCAGCTATAAAATTGCCTAAACTACCCGATACTTTATCAACAACTCAAGTTCAGTCATTTGAAGAATTGAACGATATCAAAAGCGCATAACAACTAATGCAAAATAATGCTAGTATCGCATACAGTTTTCTTTCAAACTCAGATTCTTGCGAACTATTCCAAAAACCAGTCAGTTGTCTTCATATAGTCAATATTAAACTATACTGATAATATAGTGTCTATGGCGTTGCTTTTATGCTTAAAAGTTTACCGCATTCGGCTATATATAGCAGCATACGCTCGTTACGTCGTGACAGTTTCAGATCTTAATCGAATTAGCGCTGTGGCGCGATTGGATAAACAATGACATCGCAGAATTAATTTGAGTTTATCTCAATATTATATTTTAAAAAAATCGCAATAAATTTTAAAATATAAGTTGACAAATGCTATTAAAATCGACAGTAAAGTTGGGTGAATTTAATAGTAATAACGTAATTAAAAAATTAACACAAATAGTTTATGACTTTGCAAATTCTTTTAAAAGATAAGCCTAAAATTACACAAAGTTTGCTCAATATACTCAATATACAAACAGATAAATTATTGCAACTTTACGCGAATTATAAAAAGATAAATCTTCTGTTTGACAATCTTAAAGCATTTGTACAAAATATTATTTTTAAACTAAAAGACTGGCTATAACGTGCAAGGAAGTGCAATGAATTAATTTATAAACAAATTTGCATGAAAAAAGGGCTTGAAATCCAAAACCATTGGATGTATCTTAGTAGATTTTGCTTGAGAGTCAACTGAAAGAACCCATACCCACAATTAAAAGTGGAAAGAGTACTAATAAATGGGTTGCAAGTTTGTTCAAAGCAAGGTCCCAAGTTTAAAAATTTGGTGAGGTCGGCAATTTCGAAGTTGTGTGTCGGCCCATGAACCTTTTTTTTACTGGGTCAAATACATTGTTACTTGGGGTTCATTAAACTGACCCACTCATTTACCAACTCTTTATTTTTATACTTAACTTTGAGGTGTATTAAATTGATTCGTTATGAAAAATTTTCGATCTTTCCAAAAACATAGTGAATTACACATACTTGCACAAAGTTTTAATCATATCTTTGTCAAATTGTGAAACTGAACTCGGGCGGGACGGACAAAATAAAAGGTTAAAAATCTTGTCAGAAACGATGCCAATTGCATCTGATGACAACGGTTCCAATTTATTCAAATTTTTGTCTTTCCATTCTCAAGTATTTCAATGTAGAGCGATCAGAGAGCTGGATTTGACTATGTTGGTATCTAACTATGTCAGTAATGTATCCAAATATCACACACCACCTCACTCAGGCTGTTATAGATTCTGCCCTTTTCATAACAAGTAGTCATTGGTTACCAGATTTCTATGTTTTGGGTGAGGTTGTAGGCAATGAGATTGAACTTTGACCTGTGAAGCTCTTTAACAATAAGACTTACATTCATGTCATTTATCTGCCGTTTGCAAGTTGTGACGCGAGTCTGCTACGTCTTTTAGATTTGTGCATTGATTTCTAAGAAAAAGGAAATATGAACGTTAATATTTACTGTACACTACAAACAAAGCAAATAAATTAAATATCCTAGTTAGAGATGGGCAAATCCAAATAAATGAATATTTTGAAAACTGGGAAAATAATTTGGAATCCCATATCCCTATTACTTTGTGTGTCCAATATGTTATGGAGATTAATTTCAAATATTTTGAATGATTCGAATTTTCAAGTTTTTATTTAGCACGTAAGTGGTTGTTTGCATAAGTGGTCTATTTACTTTCAGTTGTAGGCTTTTGCTCTGAGCAAACCTAAAACAGTTCTATCAGTACCCGCTTCAGTTTTAGTTCTGTAATCGGGACCTTGCTCAGCAAACATGCAACCTTTCTATCAGTACTCTTTCCACTTAGTTGTGGGCTCAGAACCTTGCTTTGAGCAAACTTGCAACTCTTCTATCAGTAATGTCTCGACTAGTTGATAGCTTGGGTCCTTGCTTTGAGCAGACTTGCAAGACTTCCATAAGTCCTCTCTCCATCTTGAGTTACGGCTACGCGCCTGCTTTGAACCAACTTGTAACCTGCTATTAGTACTCTTTCCACTTTTAGTTAAGGGTACGTGCACGAATACGAACAATAAACGTACTTGTCTTCTGAATTCCGCTTATTTTTGTTTGAAGTCTAATTCTTCCTCTGTTAGAGTTTGATGTCCTCCATGCTCCAATTTTTCGAGTCGGGTTCGTAGGAGTGACGGACGGGATAACGGTTCTAATATAACGGCAGATATACTTCTTGCTTTAAAATACTACGCAACTTGTTTGAACTTTTTCTACTAAAAGCGAAAAATAAAAATCGGACTGCCCCATTTATCTTATATCACTCATAATTGCAATTAATTAGATTGCTTTGTCTTTAAACTACACGAATGATCGAACTGCCAAAGTATGTGTTGCGTATACTGCCTACTCAATTTTGCAAACATTTCCTCTTTGCCCAGGTAGTTATTATATATCGTATTAGAAACAACAAGTTGCCATATATTTTGTAAACTCTTTCTACGGACTCAATTTTCATAAGTAGCATCCAATCTAGAAGCTGAATCTGCATTCAAATCGTTGCTTGTCGAGAATTTAGGTTGAATTTTAGACCAGTCTACTTCACTATCCATGTCATTAGATATTGAAACGTTACATAATTTACAAGCTGATACAATACAAAAGGCTTACGTCTTTCAAGTGGTTCAAGACTCTTGCTGCACACTAGAACAAATATAATTCTGTGATTCCCCAGACATTAATTATTCAAAAAAAAATGTTATATTTTTTGGATCTTTTGTACAAAGCACAAAGTCCCACTAAAAAGACTGCAAATAAGAAAATTAGTAATTATGGTAAATTATGGTATTCAAAATTTACCATTAGGGCCAAGGTTAGGAATGCAGACTGCACTTGAAATTCAAATTTTCAATTCATTTCTAACCAGAATAATTACTACTTTTCGTAATTTAAGTCATATCGGTGGTGTTTTTCTCTAATCTCACATTTCTGCTTTGGCGACGGGGCTTTGTACAAAACATCCGTGTTTTGTTTTCATATGTAAGAAATTTATCAATTTTTATTCAATAGCGACAACCCCTCACGAAAACTAAATTTTTTTCACAGTTGTCCAGTTCAATGTGAGTATGAGGTCATCGTTCCACATTCTTGAAACCCTTGCACATAAGTATCCCCCACAAACCTACTCAGGTTGTTCACAAGCGCGATAGAAGGGTGTTTATAAGGCGATGTATCATGTAATTATTTCAATCCGCTATTTTCACGAATTATTCTTTGAAGATATCTGCTTTCCTATTGTATAATTTTCCAATTTCACATTCCAAGTAAGTTAAATTTTTCAATATCTATATCCTGTCCTGTAGCCAACATTTGGTCGGATATTGGTGATTGTCACTGTCATTGAAAAACTAAGGACTAATGGAAACAAAAGATACAAATCATATCATATTCATTCATTGATTGTTTGCGATGATTTGCACAGCCGGTATTCATTTTTTCGGTATTTCCACCAATATTAAATAATAGAATCTAGCCCTGTCTAAGTAAATAAAACGGCGTTTAGAATGAGGCTGAGTTACGTTTTTTTATCGTTTTGGGGCCAGTAGAACTTTCGGTAACCATTTGTCAAGTAGTGAAACTGGCGACGGGTTTCAAATTAACTAGTGTAGACCAGTGATTCCCAAAGTGGGCGATATCGCCCCCAGTGGGCGAAAACGATACAGAGGGGGGCGAAAAAGTCTAAGGGACGATTTCGCGAAACCTGTTTTATGTTCGGCGCACCTAATTCTGTCCTCTGTGTGCATTCGCAGGCTTGAATCATTATGGCGATATTCACACGCGGAAGGATTTCTGGTCTCGTCTTCGCAGTAAGGTAAGGTAGTTTGAGTATCCCAGTGGTCGGCAAAATACGGCCGAAGTAAAATAATCTGGCCCGGAACGATTCACTGAATGGACCTTTCCCTGACCTTTGACCGCGGAAAATTCTTTCCATACTTTACCATATTAAAAATTTCGGTGCTTATTTTAAGATTGGTTTCGCGAGTTGTTGCCTGTAAAATGGGGTATTTGTTTCAAACTATCATTCTAATACACACCATTTAACATTCTGTTTTTTAAAAGTACCGATAAAGAATTTTAGCCTAGTCTATCACAGCTATTTCTACACTAATTTTTGATTGCTGTATTTAAACTGAAACTCATGGAAACACAAAGTAATCATTGACTTATTTGATTTATATTTAAATTTCCGAAAAACAACTAAAAACTAACGAATTTAATTCAAAAACGCGGAAATGAGGTAGTGCTCACGACCACGCCTGAAAATCTGTCTGAGTGAGAGTGTCTGAGCGGATGCGAAAGGGGGCATTGTTACGTTTTTTGCATCTTGCTGATTGACCAATGTCACGAAATAAACAAGGAAGTCCATGCCCGGGGAAATATCCAAACGGCGGTTTTGACAATGAAATTTTTGTATTTATAATCTACGCTCGAGGAGTAAATTACATTTGTTTACGTAACAGAATTTATCGTGAGACACGTTTAGACTAAATTATACTATATCCTAACAATTTAGTGAACAGCCACTTGTTTAACGAGCCTACAATTTAATTATAATTAGACAAATAAAAACACGCACGTTGATGCTGAGTGCAGGGGTTCAATAGCAACATAAAATTTGCCGACCCCTGGGCCGCCGCCGATAGTCAGTCACGGCTTTTTCCACATCAGAGTCCATGAATCCAAAACAAATGGCTGGTTAATTATAGACTGGTGATCGGACTGTAGGCCGTGATAGGATGAGGAATCGGGATGAATTTTTCCGAAGTATTTTGGTGCAGGTCATCAGGCAGTACAAATGAATGAAATATACGAAAATCATTATTATAAGTTTGGTGAAATTAACATTGTTTTTATTATTTTAATGTGAAATGAGGTGAATTTAGGAAGTGAAATGCTATAAAGCAAGCGTACACGGCGGTTTTTGAGGAGGTAGAACCCTGGATTCTTTCATTTCCGACCTATTATATTGCGAAAAAGGGGATTTCAGCCGTGCTACTATTGCTATAAAAACAACGAAATCACCTTTCCATCAGTAAATGGGTTAATTTTAGATACAATAAAAAACTCGCTGAAGAACACCAAGCTCATCTATCTCATTAAAAACACTATAAACTATGATTTGTTTTCTTATTTGGTCTGTAATATATTCGTTTCTGACTTTATATTTTTTGTAGTGCAGAGGGGCGATGAAGTTGAATAAACTACTTTAGGGGGGCGATGGTCAAAAAAGTTTGGGAACCACTGGTGTAGACGATCTGACACCACGATCGAAATAATTTATGAAATCAGCGAAGAGATGCTTTTTAACGTAATTAACGAACTCACTTAGCAAGTTTTAACCTCTTAAGTTTTCATCTTTCTGCTCATTCAAATAATTCCAGTCCTTGTGTTCTCACGAGATAAATTATCCTAATTTCACAAACCTAATTCACAATCCCTCTGAGAAACAGAAGCAGCAATAACAAAGATTTTGCACATAAGCTGAATTTAATATGATTTAAAATATCCCAAATTCCAAAATTACGCAAATAAATCTTCAAACATTACTCAAATTAAACCTTTGTTCACTCAGTATAGTAAGATCAACAAAAAGAAACAATTTTTTTTGAATTAACCCTATGAAAATCCCCCAATAAAATACGATATTGGATAAATTGTTAGAACATTTCAAAAATTAGGAATAATTTTTACGTTTAGATAATCTTAATATTAAAAGTTTAAAAATTTACCATAATTCAATTTACTTTATTATAGCTGTGATAACGACATGGATCGGTGTGAGGCTAATCGAATAAATTTAACCAGGATTCAATGATTTATATTTTATTGATAATAAAGGAACAAAATACAGCCAGACAGACATTTCATTATATCAGAATCTCACAAATAACTCCATGACGCTCATAGGTAGGATTTCTATTCGCGATACCTTGATTACAATCGTTCGAGACTGCATTAACTTCAAGATAAACATTTGTGCGAACTTTATTTATAATTCCCGTTTTTGGATTACCTGGATACCATTTAAGGAACGAATCTGCAGGTGTGAAGTCACCAGTCTGAAATGAAAAGCATTAGAGTTTATCACGAGATCATGCTTGGTCAAAAATTTAGTTTATTGCCTTGAATTACCTATTTCATCAATCAAAATACGATATATTATTATCTATCCATGCTTGGTCAAATGTGAACGCAAGTTTTTCTAGTCTCTCATTTGTTATCATGTAAAGCTTCATGATCATGCGCTTGTTGAAGATTTATCCAAAACTGTTACACTGCACAGTTCCTATATGACTGAACTCTGGGCAGTTCAGTGTAAAATGAATTTTCTGACTTCTAATGTACGACGAAGCAGTAGGTCAGACAAGGCGCACGTAAAAATCATGTCAACTTTCTAGAGAAACAAGGTCGAGCAACGCGAATCCATAGTTTAGGCTACTGATAATATAAGGCTTGTTCATAGGAATGAGATGAGACAGCACATTTGTATTTTCCATAGGACATTAACCATGTCATAACTTGATTACGTCAGAGTTAATCTTGGGGTTTATGCTTTTTAACGTTTCAAAGTTTTTATTTTATTTTTTCATCATATACTTGTATCTACTATTTAATCTTTTGTGCGACACCGACATAAATAAATGGAATACCCCGTGAAAACGCACTATAGAATGGAATGGAACACGCATAAATGCTATGAGGTGGAATTAGACATAAAATATGTTTCATGTGCAGGACTGGTGGCAGGACTGATGGCAATGCAAACCTCTTAAAATATATGGCAACATCACCATTTTTCGTTTTGTGATTGCTAATGTATAATTTTCGAAGCTTTATTTAGTTTAGTACAACGCTGGGTTTGTAGCGCAAATTGTAAATCCGAGATGGAATTAACAATGGTATCATTTTAAATTATCGGTGAACATCAACGCCAATATATTCGGCTAATAATAAATATTTGCTAATGAATTGGTTTCTGCGAGACTAACTACTTATCCGTCTTTTATGTTTTTGTGGATTCGTATGCATATAATGCAAGGATGCTGTAGCAAGAGTAAAGATAACAATCCTAAGTGATTCAAGAGTCTTGCTGCACACTAACACAAATATATTTCTGTAACGTTTCGTCCAGACTTCTTCAAACATACATAGTTCAACAATAACAAGAAAAGCAGTTACATGCATATTTAAACAATAAATAATCAAAAAACCATACTCTTGCACTGATTGTTTAAATATGAACGTAGCTGCTTTTCTTGGTATTGTTTTACTATGTATGTTTGAAGAAGTCTGACTTTGGTCAGACGAAACGGTATAGAAATATATTTGTGTTAGTGTGCAGCAAGACCCTTGAACCACTTAGAGTAATAAATTAATTTGCAAAAAAATTCTTATTAAATTTCCGGGAATCAGAAAAAGGTGAAATGTAAACAGTATTCGAAATATCGTCTGCACAGTTGTAAATAATGAACTAACCCTAGTTGCCTTAAAATCTTTGGCCGTGTTTCTGTCCACACTCTTTTTATCTTGTGTTATATTTTTACACGAAAGAATTTTTAGCATAATCATATGGTACTAACCATAGGATTAAACTTAATTCCTGTTCATATTCTAACCAATGTCCTTCTTTTTGGAATATTCTTTCTTAAGTCATTCATAATCACGTTGTAAGATTCTTTATCTCGAATCAAACCAACATCTGCGTTACGTTTCTTACAAATATTAACTGCTTTGTTGTAGACGACATCATGTATCACAGCGAAATAACAGATATTTCCAACTTTTAATTTGCAGTTTCCTGAAATGTATCAACAATTTATTTTAAATTCAAAATCAAACGAGTAATATTTGTTAATAAATCGTTGCTACAATTATGAATCAAAAGGACTTCTAACAATATTTCAATATATTCAAATCTAATAAAATAAGTCGATTCAACTGGTCGTATTTGGTAATGCAATTAAGTCTATCATTTATTGCTCATGTTCTTCCTGAATCAAATAATTGAAAAAAATATCATATTTGATAAACGATATAATGCAAATGATTCATCAAATATTCATAAACTACAACTTAGATTGGATAAAGTACTCGACTGGAAGAGTCGAATCCAATGTTGTGTTCATCTTTGTTGTTTTCAAAATTTACTGTTTTTAGACAGGCTCAAAGAGTAGTTTTTCGGGGAAATAATGTCATTTAGACCTGTCTCCTACAATTTTTCCATTCATAAGCCAGAAAACCTTTCCGCTCAATTAATTGAAAATCTACCTTGGTATAAATTAGTTCGTGGAAAAATATTAATAAAAAAAACATACTACAAAAACTGCTATTCTGAGCAAGAGGTTTTCTACTTTGTAACTCTTCAACTATTACGCTCAAATGTATTCCGGTGATCTAAAATAACATATAAATACCTTTCATTATCTCATCGTTCGTTTTCCTCTGTTCATCCAGTTGTTTTTTCAAATTTATATTTGTTTGTTGAACTTGAATCAAATCTAATGAAGAAATAGCTTTCAAAAGTTCAGAAAACAATATTTAATATCTTTGTTCGTATATTGTCCCTAAAAACATCAGCTTAAAAACGTTTTTGTGATATTAGTTAAGTATCATAAATGTTTGCTATGAGGGAATTATACATTATTTTTTTAAATAATTCACTGCACCTTCCTTCATCTGCTCGTTTGTTTTCTTTTGTTCATTCAATTCTTCCACCAAAATGTTATTCGTTTGTTGAACTTCAGTCCAATCTGAAAACAGAAACATATGTAGAGTCAGTCAGTTTAGCTTTTTGGGATTCAGGGATATTCAATGAGTCGGAGAGAGTTCCAAGCACTTCCGAGTCGAATGGGTGAAATATTTCTCCACGACTGCAGCACCCAACTCTCAGAAAACTGCATTCATGACCCAACTTCTAAACAAATAAGATCTCACCTAACTTTGCTAAGCTAATGATTTTGAAGCTATAAAACCTTTGGCTTTATCGAGATTAATTACTAGAAAGGAGACTAAAAACAACTTCACCAGTCAGAAATGTGCAACAACCTTTTTTTAAATCTTTGATCTCAATAGTATGTTGCGCAGTTTTTGTCTGCTCCTCTACTAAATTGCTATTCAATGTTTGAAGCTCTTCAAATCCTAATAAAAATAAAAAGATAAAAGGTTGCGTTTTGTACCGCACTCTCTTCGATTTCAGCTGCCAATTGAGTCTCACAATCACGATTGTCAATGTTAGATGGGTCGCCACTGATGTATTGCGTTTAATGGGTTCAACGAAAGCGCGAACTGTATCCATTAAACATTTCTAATAGATTCTAATTCAGCTAATACACTATTATGGCAATTGTGGAGTAGACGAATATATAACCAACTTTTCTTCAATTTCTTTATTTCGCCAGACTGCTGTTCAACTTCTCTTTCAAGTTTGTTAATTTTTGCTGAATGTTCCTCTAACTTGCTGTCACTTTCTGTTGAAAAATAAACTCTGTTTTAAACATCTTGAATTTCAGTTCAATTTTCGGTTTGACCACAAACATTTTTAAAGAAACTTTACATACATTTGAGTATTTGTGAACATATTCCTAGCTATTTGTCAATGAAAATTAATTGGATAAAGAATTCAAACCGTCATTCCCAGAACCATCAGTTTTTTCCATTTTATTTTTGAAGTTTTCTTCCAGTTCCCTTAAATCCGATCTTATATTTCCAATATCTGGATGAAGATAGAAATTATTAATATAAATTCAAATAATTTTATCAGAATACAAAAAAATCGTTGGTAAATGATAACACTTTGATGCCATGTCCAAATGCAAAAATTTGATTCTGCACTCAATGTTCTGCGCTCCTATATGTTTATGGATTCAGATCTACCGGATAAAAAAATATTATTTTCAATATATAACACAAAATAAAAATTGTAAACGGTATTCTTTCCAATGTTTTCATAATTTTTATATCTAATTGGACGACGCTCTTCAACAACTATCATACTTGCCTAAAATATTCCTGGATACTAAAGGAAACAAGTCAGCAGTATTTCGAAACTGTGGCGCATGCTTGGATTTGCATGTAATCGGAAATTCATTTTCATGCAGATGTTGATCAATGTTGAAACCTGGTCCGTTCCATTCAACAGCTACTGGATCACATTGTGCGATCTTGCAACCCGGCTTGGGAGAGCAGTGGAACAATGCTTCATCTTGACTCCAGGATAAAGCGAAGACGTAAATGAGGATAAAAGCGATTGAGATTTTCATCTCTCGGTTTCAGTGTAGTTAGGTATTAACTGAATGAAGAAAAGTTCTAGTTAGAAATAAAGAGTTATGTCAAACGTGCGCAGAGCAAGTTTGATTTATTTCGAAAATTACATACATCAGACAACGCTATTTGTAGCCGAGTTAGTAAAAATGAACGTAGCATACTAGCATTTATAGAATAAGAAAAGATCTTTTAAAAGCGACATTGGAAATTCATGATAGACATGGGCGTTTTGTAAAGGCGTTTAATACTAATAAACGTGGTCGATTTAAGCAAAGGCATATTTTTCTAAAAGATGCGTAGAAAATCCTAAAAATGATCTTTCTCAGAATCGGCTTAGACTTTTTAGAGATGGCATAGCTTATCCACACGCAATATGGCAATATTAAAAAGGACATATAATTTTATAACATCATTTCCTTATAGTAGCGATGAGCATCTATAGATAAGGTGTAGCTTTGTTTAACTGGCATAAAAAGCACATTGTTAAGTGTTTACCTCCTTCTTTGCTTATCTCCTCTTATATACAAACTTTTTTTGAAAATTGTTCAAAATTTCCAGAGTATGTCCATATTGGACGTTGGCATAATCTATCAGACTATATTTCTGTCTCCTAAAACCATCGAGGGGAGGTCGCTCCTTTGTTGCTACCTGCGAGGGGAATCGTAAAACAAAGTTCTGGACAATGTAAAAAGCGGACGTTCCATCGGTGTGCCGTGCCCGTGTCTTTAGATTTTTGATATGACCTCTCAAAATCCTGCAATAAGCCAAAGTCACTGGACCGTGACTAGAGAATATGAGAAAAACAAAATTTTAATAAGGGCATTTAACTAATTTTTCAAACTATTCTTATCTACTCTGTTTCTTGATAGCTTCAATCTGATATGCACAACATTCCGAAGTCACTGGAGCGTTACGGGGACGCGGAATTACCAAGTTCCTGGTGGTGAAATATTCGATTAATTTTTCTCTTCGACAATCGAGAATCGCTTTGCCTGAAATCCCACTCCAAGTGCTCGGAATCGCCCAAAATCAATAATACCTTTGTGGGCGTGGCTTGTCACACGTTTTATCACTACTGAGGGGACGTAGGCCCTGCCCCCACCACCAATACTATTGGAAAATACCTTTTCAATATTCGGGCAAACTCTTTTCCGCCACGGTAACCGAAGTAAACAACCTCTAAACGCCGACATCACTCGAGCGTGTCTTGATTGACAGGTAACCACACCTGAATTACTGAAAGTCCGTTTTGGCCCACTTCTTCTGGCTCGATTATGTGGGCACTATCCCCGACCTACATGACAAGTTTTTTGCCCTACGCGAAACGATTTCTGACACTGACTGTGCTTTCGCACTAAAATGCTCTCGGTTGCCTAACAACCAAGAGGCATTGTGTTTGATAATATCCGGTTTTAAAACTGATTGATTCATATTAGTACTTCTGAAATTTAACGATATCAAGAATTCTCAGCACATAAGGAACGAGTCCGAATATTACCAGTATCATAGGCGTTTCGTTTTGTTCGAACTCTAAAAATCTTGCGAAGTATTCTATCAACCAGTTGCCTCCATATAGTCGATATAAAACTATACTGATGTATTTCCATTGCGTTGCTTTTATGCTCAAAAATTTACCGCATTCGGATATTTATGAAAGCAGACGCTCGTCATGTCGTGACGTAGTCTCAGATCTTAATCGAATCAGCGATATCGCGTGATGGAATAAACATTACATCGCAGAATTAATTTTAGTATTTTGCAATATACTATTTTTAAAGAAATCACGATGAATTTGAAATATAAGTTTACATATGCCGTTAAAATCCAAAGTGAAGTAACAATGAATTTATAAGTAATTAAAAGTAAACGCCACCTGTTATAACTTACAACGTCGCATATGCTGTAAAATTACCAAAAAATTTTGTAATTTATCGATAAGGGAAGATAGTTGAAAATCAGATACTGTTTGTCTAATGCTGTCTTGGTTACATCAATGCCAATCAGCGATATTGAAATAGCTGTTTCAATCGTTTTCACCCAAACTATTTTGAGTCTTGCACCAATCCGTATTAACGGGAAAAAATCTCATATTGTAATTCCTTATAGCCTCAGTAGACCTAGGCATTTTGTTGGTCGCAAACCTCAGCTCAAAGATCAATCTCCTATTTTAAGGCGCGTGATCTTGCTTTGAGAAAATTTTATTAAGAAAATTTAAATAGTCCGATATTCGTTTGCCGTTTCCCAGAGATATCCCTGAATATATTAGTGATTAATTTTCTGTACAATATATTAGCTATACTCTAGATCAGTGTTTCCCAACCCGAGTTCGCGGTCTCAAATGAGTCCGCGAAGAGTTTGAATGAGTCCGCAACGAGCCAGAAATTCACTGCGGGCCTCAAACGTTATTGCGTAAGTTAACTATCAGCCAAGTTACAATTTACGTTAAAATTCACATAAAACATAAAAAGCGATTTTTCTTCACATAACATTAATCAAGTCATTTATTACTAGATACTGAGTATGGCTGGGCATAAATTCGAATATTCAACTATAAGAATAGCAATTCACTATTCAAAAATCTGGTAACAGGTGACACGACACGTCAAAACGATTGGATTTCACAACTCACTTGCGAATTTCCGAAGAAAACACGCGCACGCGTGGTGTTTCTTGCGAGTTCGAACAATAAGGAATAATTTTTTTTTTCTAGTTGGTGTCAATGATGGCAACCCAAATTTTCTAAATTGAAAAGCGGCAATACAAAATACTAAACGGAGAACACCATAAAATTTGTTTTATGATTGTACGCGACCGATTAAAAACGCTTCTTTAGACATTGCAAATCGCAAAATTTCGGGTGATACTGTAGTATATAATATACCAGGGCATTTCCCCTTCGGCCTCCACATTGTTACGTACAGTACTGGAGCGTCGTAAGTGTTGTACGAACAGCTCAGATTTGTTGAATTCACAAAAATACGAAACAAAACAAAATATAATCGGTCACTTTACAGCGCATTTTTGTGTCCACGGATTGTCATAATATTTTCTGATTAGTATTGCTTTTATTTGGTCAACACAACCGCAGATTAAAATGATCACCATGAAATTAATATTACAACAAGGTGTATATGTATTCTTGATTTACTAATATACTTTAACTATATTTTAACTAATATAATATACTTTAACTAAGTACTGAATCAAATTGTACTTTCAGGAAATTTATAGCAGATAGTAGGATTTTTCTAACGATGATAACAAATTGGCAAGATCTCTAAAATTATGTATCAAAACTAAATACAATCGGGCAATATGTTAGCATATTGCTGTGGCATTTTAAACAAGTAATGCTATCATCTTGTCGTAAATCGACGCAACCGCGAGTTACCATGAACACAATCAACATAGAAAAACATTTTGAATTCTCGTCGTTGTCATGGATTGAATATAGTGAGACAGAAAAGGCCATTATACACTAAAAAAGTCGGCCCTTTTAACGGTGGCGTAATTGCAGCGAATTTCTGATTATCAAATTCGTTCAAATTCCGTTGTGTTTGGTTTTATTGCTTCTTCACACACAGTACGGTTGCAATATGCGCATATTGAATCCGCAAAGGTTTTCGCCAGTGAGAAATTAGTCAGCGAACAAAAAAGGTTGGGAAACGCAGCTCTAGATAAAAACAGTAGTTCCGCAACCAAACTTCCTGATCTTTTTAATTAGATCATTGGGCGTCGCTGCTTGATAACCAGATTTGATTCCTCGCCGCTTCCCTCCCCAGTTGAAAAGTATGAATATTTTTTTTCTTCGTATGTTGTGGAAAACTGTTGTGTAATGTATATAAATATATACAGTAGATAACGGGTGAAATCGGACTTGAGAACATACAACACTTTCAGGGCAATTGTCTAGTCTATCTTATGATTAGTTAGAACCAACTAATGGCCAAACATAATCCAATGATATTAAATTTCTGCTCAATAAAATAAATTATCGTCGAAAAGTTTTTAAAAAAAAATAAATCGAAGATAAAATATTATTCATGTGGGATCTCGTGACGAGTCTTAAACGGGTCGTCTATTTCGCTCTCATTAATGGTCAAGGGTGATCCGTCCTCCGGGTCGACTGAATTGTCTTCAGGCTAAATAAAAACAGGGTTTAAAATCAACTATCAAATCAACGGTTAATGCATTTTGCTTCGTATCGCAGTTTCAAAAGTTTGGCAGTAAGTATATGATAAGGCTGCGGTCGGCAATTATGAAATTTCGTGCCGGTTTGTGAAGTTTTTTTACTGGGCGTATACATTGTCGAGTTAACTTGGGGATTGTTGAACTGATTCACTGATTTACTAAGTCTTTGTCGCCATACATGTCAAGCGGTCAGAGAGAGCGTTAGCAATACGC